GTGCCCTTTCTGCTCCTGGTGTAGACCAGGGCCATGGTGCTAAAGGATCACTTGTTTTTTTTAAGTTTTTTAAAGATATAGACTAACACAGATACCCCTCTGCGCCTTAACTCTTGTTAGCTCTCTCTCTCTCTGTGTAATCTTATTTAAAGATGTGGATAAGCATGTGTGTGTGTGTGTGTGTGTGTGTGTGTGTGTGTGTGTGTGTGTGTGTGTGTGCGCACAATGGGATCAGTCCCCAAAGCCAGCCTCTCTGGGTTACCAGCTGCCAGCACCACCTTGATGGCGAAAGAACAATGCAGGTGAGCCCTGCGAAAGAACCCACCCAAGAAAGAGAGACAAAGCCCCATGAAGAATAGAAGATCCATGTCACATCTGCCACAAACTGATGACTCCTGGTCACACAGTGTCCTGGGACAATGGGACAAGACAGGATCTATAGAAAGATGGGTGAAAAACTATAGAATTGGATCTTTCTGGTCTACAATTACTCTCAGTGTCACACCCTCCCCTTTCAAAGTTTCAGGGCATATCTGACTGCGGAATGTGCTGCTCTGTTTGGGGAACAAAGAGCAAATCTCCAGAGTGCTCCTGTTCTGCCCTGCCGTAGGAACGGGTAGTTAGACTGCTGCTGCAGGGGGAAGGAGACAGACTGCTTGGCTACTTTGACACAGCTGCTCAAGATGCCACTCCCAACAGCTGAGGAGGCTGTGGGAGAACTGAGAGGGAAGCCAAGACATGAAGGGATCTACTCTGCGTTCCCACAACACTGCACTGTGAGCTACATACCCACTGTGCATTGCATACACTTTTGTCAATGGTGCCCCCGGTGTGGACATGATCTGTGGACAGAGGGAGCAAGTGTGAACCCCTCTGGAAATATTTGTTTGGTCAGCTTTTGGATGTTGACTTAAGTATTGTCAACAAAACTTCATCTTGTAGACATAACCTTATATGCTTTATTATGCAGCCAAAGCATTTCGTTCTGTTTAATTTAATAACAGGTTTCACTTAGGTTTACAGAACCAACATACACATTCAGGAATGGATTAAGGCAGGATCTATAACATGTGGAACCAAAAATCCATGGAAGATGTGGTCCATGCCAGAGAGTGAGGGAGAGAGACTACAAAAGGAGAGCCAGCATGTCATGAATACTTTTGTAAAGCAATCTTTTAGTTTGCTGAAGATACTTTGGATGGATTGAATTTAGGGCAGATTTAAACAACATACCATGACACTAAACCTAACATGACATACCTGGTTGGCAATCTGTCGTACTAGCACATCCATCCTGGATCCAGACTCTGAAATCATTTTTGCTGCATAAATCACATGAGATGTATTTTTCAATGGGCCTTTTCCCCTTAAATGAAAAAAGTAGAGAAATGTAGTATCCATGAAAAATAAGGACGGAAATTTTTTTTAAATAAAACAACTCATTCAGAATTAAAATAAAATCTTATTAGAGGTTCAATCAATATGATTTACTTTGTATCCCAAAGTCCTGCATATCATGGCTTCAGCATTAGAATAGTGCCATACACACAATATTACTACTTCTTGATCAGTCAAAACACGAAGCACCAGAAAAATCACATAAACAAAAACATCCAAACTAAAACCTTGATTATATGAGATTGCAAGCCCAAAAAGATAAAATTACTTTCAAATAAGCATACAAAAGGTGCATGGGTTTATCCAAACCTCAGAATAGGAGATGAGTAAATACATCAAAAAATTGGTGACAGTTTTCTCAGTTAAAAATTGAATTTGCCTTTCCTGTATTCAAATCACTTGTGCATTCACTTTCCATGAGTATTCTAGTGAGTTTAGTGGAAGGATTGTAGAAGCACTGAATTTTAGGAAATTTTTTAAACTGTAAATGTGCTCTGAAAACTTAATTCCACTAATAATGATTATTCAATAAGGGGACAGAAACAATATCATGAGAAATATGCTCCATTGAAAAACTCACCAAAAACAGCTCAAATGTCAGCTATCAAGTGCTTTTGGTACTTCAAAAATTATCTACAGATTGACAGGTAGACTCATAGATGATTTGAAGAACAATTTCAAATTTGAGATCTTTAAGATGTATGCTAGCAATTTTGAAACAAACTGCATTTTTTGCTGCTCTTATTATAGTTGTGCCTATGCACACCAGAACCCCGAGATATGATGTACAGAACAAATACAAAACAAAATGGCAGTTGTACACATTATTTATTAATGACCTGAATAGTGGGATGGATTGCAGCCTCAGCAAGTTCACAGATGACATTAAGCTATGGGGAGAAATAGATAGAGGGATAGGGTCCAGAGTGACCTGGACAAATTGGAGGTTCAACAAGGACGAATGCAGAGTCAACAGTGTGCCCTTGAAGCCAAGAAGCATTAGTAGGAGCATTACCAGCAGATCTAGGGAAGTGATTATTCCCCCTTGTTAGGAACTAATGACACTACATCTGGAATATTGTGTCCAATTCTGTCCCCCCTCCCCGCCCATTACAGAAAAAATGTGGACACACTGGAGAAAGTTGAGCAGAGGGCAACAAAAATATGAGAAGTCTGGAGCACATGACTTATGAGGAGAAACTGAGGGTTTTGGCCTTATTTAGTCTACGGAAGACTGAGGGGGGTTTTCATAGAAGCCGTCAACTACCCGAAAATGGGTTTCAAAGAGGATGGAGAGAGACTATTCTCAGTTATAATGATGACTGAATGAGGAGCAATGGTCTCAAGTTACAGTGGGGGAGGTCTAGATTGGATATTAGGAAAAGCCTCCACCCCATGGTTGCAAGCAAGCTGGCAGTCAGCTCCAATGCCCCTGCCCCGGGGCGGAAGAGGAGGGCCCCATCTTGGTTTGATAAGGAAATCCTGGATCTCACTGAAGTCTGGAGAGAGGAGGTAAACCTCCAGGATCTCCATTCTTGTAGCCAGGGCCAGAAGGGCCACATGTGCACTGGAAGATGCAGTCATCATGCACCTTACCCAACCACCCAACGTTGATGTTGGTGAAGCAGTCTTGGTGGTCCACGAGGGCCTGCCATACCATGGAAGAGTACCCCTTCTGGTTGATATAATCTGATGCAAGATGGTTGGGGGCCTGGATGGGGATGTGGGTGCTGTCAATGGCCCTCCCGCAGGTGGGGAAGCCCATAGTGGCAAATCCTGCGACAATGGAGTGCACGTCGCCTAGGATGATGAACCAGCGCAGCAGGCTGGTGTTGATGGCCCTCGCTACCTGTAGAAGGATACACAGGATTGCCAGTGCCCTCAGGAGCTTCCCTTCCCATACATCAGGGCCAACCCCAACTTAACCCATCTCCCAGCAGGGCTTTGTGAAGTCAGGATTCATAAACCTTCCAGGGAGGGAGTTTCTACCAACCTCCCTTCCCTAGGGATCCCCATTCCAGCAGTTCACCACCCTCCTGGGACAATAGCATGAAAGTGCCATACCTGCATGAGCATGTCCCCAATGGTTGATCTCCCCATGCCAAACTGGTTCCTGATGGAAAGGTAGCTGTCCAGCATGGCGAGCTTCCAGAGGGCGATGGCAACCTGATTATGGTGGGGGATGGCGGGTCACATATGGGTTTCCTGTCACCTGAGAGCAGGGGCGAGCCCCTTACACAGCTCCCAGAAGGTGTCCTTCCGCATGCGGAAGTTCTGGAGCCACTGATGCTCATCCCATTGCTCCATGATTATCTGGTCCCACCAGTCAGCACTGCTGTCCCATCAGGAGGGCAGAAGGGGCTTTGCTGCATGACCAGCATGTGGAGAGAGGAGAGGAGCTGCCACACAGGTAGCTGCAGCTCCTGTTCCTGAAGAGCAATGAGGGCAGCCCACAGTAACTGCACCAAAATGTGCAGAATGAGGTCGAAGAGCTGGTGACTGCTCTGCAGCAGGTTTGGCTCCATGGCTGGAATGCTGTGGTGTCCACAAGGGCATCCAGAGCAGGCAGTGAGAAGAGTTTGCTGTCCCTTGAGGAAGTAGGCAAAGATGAAGAGCCTGAGAAACAGCTGTACAGGGATGGCCCTTTAAGCATGAGCCTCAGGCAGCAGCTACAGGAAATGATTGCTGTTCTGAACCCCTGCCTCAAGTTCTTCAGGCTCCAGTGATTGTGGGCACTCTATTCTGAAATAGCCCAATGCTATGTCAATGGGCATTTCAAGTGTAGACCTGCTATTTCGTAATAAGCTATAGGCATGTTTCTTTCTTCGATTTAGAATAAACTTTGTTTACTATTTCATTATTCTTCGCACACATATCAAAACACAATATACAGTGTGCCTAAGTTAAATGCACCTTATCAAAATAGACTTTGCTTCATAGGAAGCCATTTAGTTTCATTGTTATCATGCATCTATAAAGAACTTAAATATGTACAATGCTAGGTAGACTTCTTAATTGCAATGTATCAATTTGTAAGGTCTGCAACACGGGCCAAAGGTTACCTTAATAATCATATTTCAAAGTATATCTAATGGGAATGATATATCATTTTGCTTAGAGGTAGCAGTTCTTAGTGTACAAATAAGCCAAACCATTGCAGTAGTTTTAAAATATATCCTCTAACATACTAATGCAAAAATCATATACAGTAAAAATACCTAAATAATGATAATCCATTATGACACATAATGATTAATCTCTTACTTGTGTAATTAATTAAATGTATTATTTGGCAAAGAACTACTTATTGATCCTTGAACAAAAATCATATTTTACCAACTACAGTGCCTGATTATTCCACATTATCAAGACCATATCTGAAGAAAACTACAATTACATAGATTTTGAATTATTTCTATTTGTACTGCTGTATAGAAAGCAATTTTGTTATTTGGGAGAAACTATAGTGAATTGATTTTAAGTTATAAATGAAAAATGCTGTAATTCAAAGAAAAAAAAAACAGAAAAAGAAACTATAGTGAATTGATTTTAAGTTATAAATGAAAAATGTTGTAATTCAAAGAAAAAAAACAGAAAACAAACTAATGTATTACCTCATGTAAAAGTCCCAATAATTTAAGCTTCCATCACCTTAACTTTTATTTGTCTTTCCTGATTTTTAACTTTGTTTCATTTTTTTCACAAAGTGGCCATTAAAGTGGCCCAAGTTTTAATGGTCGCCTCTTTATTTTTAAGTATCAGAGGGGTAGCCGTGTTAGTCTGAATCTGCAAAAGTAACAAGGAGTCCTGTGGCACCTTTATAGACTAACAGATTTAATGGAGCATGAGTTTTCGTGAGCAAAGACGCACTTCGTCAGATGCATGTCCTTATTTTTAGTTATATTAGAGCAAAATGTAGATGCCCCAATCAGGGCCAGATACTGGGGTCTGTACAAACATAGGAAAATATGATGTCTCTCCTACAAACCAATAGAAGATGAAAGATAAAACTGAAAGTAACTAACAGTGGGCCAAGAGGGAAAGTCAATGACTATTTCTTAGGCCATGTCTACGCTACCATATATGTCAGTACAACTTACATTACTCAGGAGTGTGAAATAAACACTCATGGGTATGTCTACACTATCCCGCTAGTTCGAACTAGCGGGGTAATGTATGCATGCCGAACTTGCTAATGAAGCCCGGGATTTGAATTTCCCGGGCTTCATTAGCATACGTGCCGCGCGGCTACACGCAGCACGGGCTAGATAGTTCGAACTACGTAGCCATTCCGAACTATCTGTACTCCTCGTGGAATGGCTACGTAGTTTGAACTATCTAGCCCGTGCCGCGTGTTCGAATTAGCGGGGTAGTGTAGACATACCCCATCTGAGTGACATAAGAAACACCACCATAAGTGGTAATGTGATGCCCCCCCCATGCTTTATGAAAATTGGCTTATGACTACACACACACACACACACACACACACACACACACAACTTGGGCTGCTTTGAACAAAGTACCTCTTATAATCTATCAATTTTAATGTTACCATCTGCTGGATCGGTATATCCTATTTTGGTGCATGTATCATTCTTGTATGAACAGTTAAAATATAAAGTATGAGACTGTTTATAATTTCAATGTGCTAATGAGAACCATTACTGGTGCACCTCCCCCCTTCTTCCTTCCCACAGAAGTCTTCATGAATGGGTGATCAACTTAATGACTTGTAAACAGACTTTCTTGTACTATAAGTCCAAAGGTGATTGGATGAGTAAGACATGTGGTCATGCACCTGGTACTGAGATTCCATTTTTTTTTATCCTGGTAGTCTTCCATGGAAGGGGAAGTATAGAACAAAAGATTCCCGCCCTTGGAAGACGAAAGGGGAAGTTATTGGCAATTTGTCCTCTGCTACCATGACACTGCAAAGAGGACAGACTTAGGTCAGAATAAATGATC